TCTAATACTTGATATGATCACCACCACTGCTGAGTAGATCACCACTACTGCTGAACTATTTAACATGCCAACTGTATAGGCCCCCACAAGTTCCTGGGTGGGGAAAAATTATTGCATACCATAATGCCCAGAAGGGATGGATGAGAGGAGGAAGAGGAGAAGAAAGAGAGGGGAAAATGTGGAGAAGGAGGAAGAGGAGGAGGGGGAGGAGAGGAGAAGGAGTAGGAAGATGAGGGAAGAAGAAGAGGAGGGGGAGAGGAGGAGTAGGAGGGGAGGAGTAGGAGGAAGAAGAGGAGGGGGAGAAGAGGAGAAAGAAGGAGAAGGAGGAGAGGATATGAATGAGCAGGTGTGATTTTTACATAAAATATTTTTTTCTTTTTAAAATAAAGATCACAGCTACTTGTCCTCATTGCAACATACTAGATAAGACTTTTAACTAGTTAAGATTTTTGACCTATTATCACAGAAGCCCACATCACTGCCTCTGTAACCAGGAAATGGGGCTGGGAGCAGAGCATCAAGACAATGGACTCATGTCCATGAATTTTACTATACGCCCCATTAGCCAGAAGCAGATACCTTGACAGAAGAAAGGTGAGGTCACTGGGTAACCAGATGGGGAGATCAGGGCATTCACAATACTGTGTGTGTCTGAAACAGCAGTCCCTATATGGTGTCATTTCTCTTACAGACATAACACATGGTCTGTGAGCTAAGCAGTGGAGGTGGAAGAAGTGAGCACTCTTCTTCTGTAACACATAGATAACCCACCTAATAAAGTCTTGTATCCCATCCCCACAATGTCTAGCCTGAGGAATTGGGAGGTTTCAGTGGGCAAAGTGAGAAATACTTTCATCAGTAAATGAGCAGAGACGTGTCAATAAATTGGTAGTCAGTAGCTCGAATTGTTTTCTGACCGAGCTAGGAGTAGCCTCTCAGCACTACCAAGTATGATCCCAAACACAAAATAATAAATAAATAAAATGCTTTAATAAACCCACTAAGCAGTCAGAGGAGACAGTTCAATGGACTGAGTACATTGCCTGCCAGAAATCCAGGTCTGAATCCTGGCACCACGTGGTCCCCCAACACCTCTGGGAGCAACACCCAAGCACACAGTTGCAAGCAGCTCCCCAAAACAACACTGTAGTGCTCCCAAAAAATATATATGAGTGAATGTTGGCTCTGGTTCAGTGACAGAGGTGTGCTGCATGTGTGAAAGCTTGGATTTGATCCCCAATATATTTGATCCCCAACACACACAATACACACACAATGAATAAAATAAAATGTGATTAGAGAATGCCACAGGAGTACTACCATGTGCCTTGCAAGCATATGGTCACCAGTTCAAATCCCCAGAGTCCCATATGTGGACCAAGTGCCATCCTGGCTGCCAGCTGTCCATGAGCAATAGCACTGCAAGCAAATTCCAGCGACAATACAACTAGCTGTATGCACTGTAGCACTGTCCTCCTGTTGTTCACTGATTTGCTCAAGCAGGCACCAGTAACGTCTCCATGGTGAGACTTGTTGTTACTGTTTTTGCCATATCAAATATGCCATGGGGAGCTTGCCAGGCTCTGCTGTGCGGGCAAGATACTCTTGGTAGCTTGCTGGGCTTTCCAAGAGGCACAGAGGAATTGAACTCGGGTCGGCCGCGTGCAGGGCAAACGCCCTACCCCAAAAATAAAAGGGGGTGCCACTGCGGGGAACAGAGATTTGTAAGTGGCACCACCAAGAAACATGGCTCTGACAAGCACAGGTGTGAGCACTGCTGCAGCCCCCTGTGAACACCCCAACTTGTTCAAGCATCTCAACTAGAGGAGTGCCAACCTGGGTGTGCACTATGTCATACACACAACCCCATAGCCTGATGTGCAGCTTCTGCTTCAGAAAGCCCATATGTCAGGTCATCATCACAACATTAATGACAACCACACTGTAAAGGACAGAAGTGATGAGGGGATGTTTTTTTAATTGAGGGTGGGGATTCTCATGGAGAGATTTTACAAAGATTGAGGCCAAAAAAAGTAAATAAACAGGGGTTGGAGTGATAGCACAGTGGGTAGGGCATTTGCCTTGCACACGGCTGACCCGGGTTCGATCCTCAGCATCCCATATGGTCCCCTGAGCACCGCCAGGAGTGATTCCTGAGTGCATGAGCCAGGAGTAACCCCTGTGCATCGCCGGGTGTGACCCAAAAAGCAAACTAAACAAAACAAAAAACAAAAACAAAAAAAAAACAAAACAAACTATGTAGTACCAAACCATTTTTATGAAAAGAAAAAAATAAAAAGCAATGTCTGCTCCATTTATATGACTTGATTTGTGATTTAAGTAGCATGATAAAAATGGTAAAGGCAATGACCAGAATTATTTTAAAAAAAAAGTAAATAAACAGAATTTTAATACCATTAGAACTGGATAGTAATATCCACCTGATTAATCTAAAAGTACTTGGAGCAGCTCAAGGACAGTGAGTAGATGCTTCAGGTGCCTTTTGGCCCCTCCCTTCCCACCTCAGCAATAACCATGCTTTAAAAGATCCTCTCCAGCCAGACATGCGAAATCTCACATCTCAGGCTGCCAGTTAGCTGATGGAAGAGAAAGAGCTAAGTACTTTCATTTACACTCACATGTGAATGATTTCCATGTCTCTAAATTTAAAACCACAGAGTATATCTTTGAAATTTATTTATTTTGATTTGGGGGGCCACACCAGGCTGTGCTCAGGAATCACTCCTGGCAGTGCTTGGGGGATTCTTATGTGGTGCTACAGATTGAACAGTAGTTGGCTGCATGCAAAGAAAGCACCTAAATCCTTGTACTAATGACTCTGGCCCAAAGTATTTGTGTTTTTATGCACATCATTTTATTTCATAAAGGAATGAATCACTAATAATAGTCTTGGGGATGAAATTTGGGGAAGACTAGGGAAAGATGAGAACTTTGGGACTTCAGTGCACATCAAAATTTTTGTGGTTGCCGAAGTGATAGTACAGCAAGTAGGGCATTTGCCTTGCACTCGACTGACCAAGTTTGAACCCTGGCATCCTATATGGTCCCCCAAGCCCAACCAGGAATAATTCCTGAGTGCAGAGCCAGGAGTAACTCCTGAGCATCGCCAGATGTGACCCAAAAAGCCAAAATAGATAGATAGATAGATAGATAGATAGATAGATAGGTAGATAGGTAGATAGATGGGGTCAGAGAGATAGTATAGCTAGTAGGGCATTTGCCTTGCACACAGCCAACTTGGGTTTGATCCCCAGCACCTCATATGGTCCACAAGCCCCACCAGGGGTGATCCCTGAGCCCAGAGCCAGGAGTAAGCCCTGAGTACCATGACATTGTATCCCAAAAACAAAACAAAACCAAAAAAAAATCCCTCCAAATTATGCAAGTCATTCCACTCCTTGGCATCTACCCCAAGAGCAAAAGGAAAATCACATTAATTCATTAAGTATTTGAATTCCTATGTTCATTGCAGTGCTATTCACACTAGCCAAGATCTGGAAACAGAACCCGAGTGATAGTACAGTGGGTAGGGCATTTGCCTTGCACACTGGGGACCAAAGTTCCATCCCAGCATCCCATACAGTCCCCCAGGCACTGCCAAGAGTAACTCCTGAGAGCAGAGCCAAGAGTAACTCCTGAGCACTGCCAGGTGTGACCCCAAAAACAAACAAAAGATCTGGAAACAAGTGTCCAAGTGGAAATATGTACACACAATGGAATACTACTCGGCTGTCAGAAAAGATGAAATCCTGCTGTTCACTGCTAGGTGGATGGAAATAGGCAGAGCGTATTATTCATGAGCCGGGTGAAATAAGTCACCCCACATGATAAACCACAAATGCGAATGATTTCTCCTCTATGAGGAGTGTAAGGAAATACAGTGAAGGAACAAAAATGGCCAGAAACAAACCCTGAGAGAACCCGACTGAGCCAAGTTTGCTAAGTAGGGGATAGAGTGGATGAAAGATGACCTGTAGACAGATGGAGCAAGGGGTGGGGGTAGGGGGGAAATGGAGGGATGAGGATGGGGGTGTCGTGATGGTGAATGTGAGGTAGCAACATACCCTAAGTCACTGTGACTAAAAATGAATGCCTCCCGCACCCCCAAATTACGTAGGCTGAAAAATGGCACCTGCAATTTCCTCAGGGGCAAGCACAGTAAGCAATGTTCCCAGGACAATGTCCCACTTCGTTGAATCTGCAGTGTCGCGACTGATTGAACCCTCATTCGGGATCCCTCGCAGGAGGCAGGCAGGTGGCCTCGCAGTGTGTCTTAGCGGAGCAGGACAAACTGGACCGGATTTGTAAAGTGTCCAGTGCCTCTCCGCCGCAGCTCTAAGCATCCTTGGAGACGTGCACACCCACCTTCTTTTAACACGGGACAGACCCGGGCGGGGCTGGGGGTGGAGGTGGAACCAGTGGAAGGAAGGGCTCCTAGAGGCAGGGCCCCTGCCGCAAATGCCCTGGGAACCGGGAGTGTCAGCCCCCTCCAGGTCAGAAGCGCCAAGACCGGAGCTGGAGCACCCAGCGCACCCACCTGTCTCCCGGCGCGCCTGGAGCCAAGTCAGCGGATACCTGGACACGCGGCGAAGGAAACGTCCGGGGGAGGCCGTTTCGGAGGGGAGGACCTTCGGCGCGGGCGTCTAAGGCAGAGCGATGACTGCAGCGCGCGTTTCGCGTCTTGGCACGAGTGTGCGAGCGAGCCTCCTCTTCTCCGTGCGGTCCCTTCTCTAGCAGGGCGCCCGCTGGACAGAGTTCGGATCCGCTTTCCCCGCGGGGCCTGCCGGAGAAGCCCGGCCTCTCGGACTGCGTCAGCGTTTGGCCGCGGGTCCGGGGGGCAGGCGGGGGGTTTCCCTGCCGCCGTTCCCGCGCTTCTCCCCGCCTCCCCCGCGCCCTCACCCTCCGCCCCGGCGGAGCCTCTTTTTGGCACCGAGACCTCCAGGTGCCCGGCACGAAGGCGGAGTCCGGCTCCTGCCGCCTCGCCGGCGCCAGGGCCCAGACCCCCGGGAGTTGGGGGGCCCCGGCGCGGCGGCTGCGGTGTCCCCGGGCCTCCCGCGAGTCTCCGCGCTCCTCCCTCGCGGCGGGAGAGGCGCGAGCAGAGCGCAGCGCGCACGGCCGAGCGGCGCCCTCCGTCCGGGCCGAGTCCGGGACCATGGCGGCGCCGGGACGCGGCCCCCGAACCCCGCTCTGGGCGGCCGCGCTGCTCCTGCTGGGCTTCCCGCGCCTCGCCGTGCGCGCCGAGGGTGAGTGTCCGGGTGCGCGTGCGGCCGGGGAGGGGGGGATGCAGCGGCCCGCGGCGGGAGGCAGCGCGCCTGGGAACCGGGTCGAGGGGAGCGGTTCCTCCCCGTCCCACCGGAGCCACGCGCACTCCCCCCACAAAGTCTCCGGCGCACCCCCACCCCGAAGTCTCCCGATCTGGGGCGCGCGCCCCAACAAGCCTGTGCGTTGGCTCCGCACTCGGATGCTTCCGTCCCCAGGCTGTTGGGTTTGGTTCTCATGAAATCACGTCTAAGGGTGCCCCCAAACCTCCTGGGCAGAGAAACGCGTTCTCTTCCACATTGAGCAAAAGGCGTCTCTGAACCCGGGAGCTCGCGCGACGCACCGAGCTGCACGCCAGAGGCCCCCGAGTCGGTGCCCCCGGGCGTGCCGGGAGAGACCCCCTGCACACAGCTTGGGTGGAGCACAGGTGTGGCTCAGAAACAGCTCGGACAATATGTGTTGCTGCCAGCAAGCCTGGTGCTTAGAAGATTCCCTAGTGTTGGAGCTCGGTCCAGGAAGATGTGAGAGCAGAGTGAACACCCACTAGGCAAAGGGAAGAGGTGAGCGTCCTCGGGGGAAGGGGAGCCGGCCAGCGGCCCGAGGACGCGAGAGGAAATCACCGGAACCAGGTCCGCGGGGCCAAGAGCCGCCTGTTTTGAGACTAGATGTAGCTCGCAAGACTTAACTTCCCTTAAATTAGCAGGGTCAGAGCCCTTTACTAATTGGTTTCCTTAAACGGGTTCTGCTGTACTGAGAGCTTGGAGCCGAACCCCCACCCCAGCCGACTTGGCTTAGCAGGATCTGGAGGAGAGCGAGCCGGCAGTTCTTGCATGTTTGAGGGGGTTCTAGTAGGTTGGAGCTCGCTAGGGGCAAGTTAGATGCCTAAAGGAGAAAACCCCTTGGTTAACTATGGGTGCGTTTATCTTGAGGGTTCTTCGTGATTTTTTTCTTTTAATGTGACTGTGCCAGCAATATTGGGTGAAGCCAGAAGACTGAAAAAAAGAGGCTTGCTGATAAGCATAAGAGAAAAAACAAGGAGAAATCTCACGCAGTATCTTAGGATTTCTCGGCACTTTTTTGTACCAAGTGCCAGCTTGATAAACTCTTTGCTTCTATTTAAGAGTGAATGTCTTACTTCTCCTTTTCTTTAGAGCGCTAGAGAACACTTTTTAACTTTGAAGGCTGTTAGTGTTCGTTAAGTTTGCAATTAAGTCATGATTCCCATAAAATCTATTATTTTTTAATGTGCAATAAATGACTTTCAGTTTTTTTAGGTTGAACAGCCATCACCACCATCTAATTCTCAACATTTTCTTACCCGAAAAAGAAATCACATGCCTATCAACAGTTTTATTATTTACTTTTTTTGTTTTTTGTTTGTCATTAAGTCATGAAAATGAAACTGGTTTTTAAGGAATGCAAGTAGAATAAATTAGAGGAAGCATTGACTCTCGAACAGTGCTCACTGTTATAACCATTTTAATTCCTTTAAAAACTATCTAGAAATCCAAGAGGTTTTTGGTTTCACCTATTTTTAACAACTTGAATTGAATGCCAGATGGATATGGACTGATATTTGGTGCCTAACTGGTTTGATATGAGTCATAAAAATATAAGGGGAGGAATACTGGACAAGGAGGAAAGTAACAAGTACCCCAAGCAGATATTAGGACTTTCAGAAATGCCTGATTCTCCCCTCTCCTTCCTTTCCTTCTTCCTTCTTTCCCAGTGGAGAATTTAGATCCACTAGCTTTTCAAGAAACTCCACTCTCTATTTCAACATTATAATAGGGCCATTGAGAAATTATAACCTGTATTATGAAAGGATTCTTTTCTTTACTAAATATATGCTCAACAGTCACCACTTTCCACATTTAGTTAGTATGGGCTACAGTGATGGGAGGAGAAGGAAGAAAAGTTTCATTGAACTGTGAGGTATTACAGACATGATGTTTGGAGAGAGCTGGACAAAAGTTCTTTCCAAATATGAGTCAGTGAGATCAATTCTAATGAAATTGTTTACTTTGTTGTTGTTATTATTGGTTTGGAGCCACACCCAGCTGTGCTCAGAGTTTACTCCTGACTTGTGTTCAGGGATCACTCTTGATGGGCTCAGAGAATCAGAAGTGGTGCCAGGGATGGAACTTGGGCCAACAGCATGCAAGACAAGCACCTTACCTTGCATGTACGATCTTTCCAGCCCTATTTAGTTTGCTTTTGACTAACTACACATGCTTCTTATGCATGAAAAGATATGCTACTGTACACTTAAAATATTTTTAAACAAAAAAAGGTTTCACATGTGGGGCTGGAGCTATAACACAGCAGGTAAGGCGTTTCCCTTGCACACGGCTGACCCGGGTTTGATCCCCGGCATCGCATATGGTCCCCCAAGCACCACCAGGAGTAATTTGTGAGTGCAAAGCCAGGAGTAACCCCTGAGCATTGCTGGGTGTGACCCAAAAAATAAAAAAAATTAAATAAATTGGCTTCTTAAAAAAATGGTTTCACATGTGGGGCTGGAGCGATAACACAGCAGGTAGGGCATTTGCCTTTCATACGGCCAACCCAGGTTCAATTTCCAGTATCCCATATGGTCCCCCGAATGCCGCCAGGAGTAATTCCTGAGTGCATGAGCCAAGAATAACCCCTGTGCATCACCAGGTGTGACCAAAAAGAAAAAAAAGATTTCACATGAAGGTAAAAATTTTCACATTAACTAAGTACAATTTAGGTCTGTTTAGGCAATAGCCATTTAGTTCAACAGCTAACTTATTGAGTGTCTATTACAGGTGAAGTACTTTCTTTGTCGTTAAGGATAGAATGATACAAGAAATAGTTACTTGCTCTTAGGGCGCTTAAACAACAATGGGGGGAATTTACTAAGTGAGTAATTAGTACAATGCAGAATTGAATGGACAGAAGGCACCATTATATAATTGGAGATTTTTATAAGAACCACTCTATGGATTGAAGGCCTGAAGTTTCTGTGGTGGGAAGGGGAGCACTTGGTGGTGGGGATCAAATTCAGGGTCTTACATATGTTAGGAATGTGGTTCATATGCCATTTGAGCCATATACCCAGCCTTTCTAACAGATTTTGAATTTTTAAGGGAGCTATACCTGGCAATGCTCAGGGGTTTCTCTTGACTCTGCACTCAGGAATCACCCCAGTGGTGCTCAGAGGACCATATGGGATGTGGGGATTAAACCTGGGTCAGCCACATGCAAGGCAAATGCCCTACCTGCTGTACAATCTCTCCAGCCTCCCTTTAGGAGATTTTTAACTTGATGTAGGAGAATCTGAAAGGTGACTGAGAATGAATTGGGAATAGAGGAGGAATGAATAGTGTGTGTGTCAGGGTAGAGAATAGAATTGCAATGACTGTGAGTGGCCAAGAAAAATGGAAGAAGTGATAAGAGACAAAAAGAACATGTGATCAAGCCAAGATTTCAGGATGGAAATGGCTTGAGATGATGCTAGGGAAATTGGTATGAGTGCAACACTGTGGGGTTCTGTAGGCCAAGTTTTGAATTAATCCAAAAAAGGAAAGGAATCTTTTGAATGTTTTCCAGAAATTGAGTGACTGATGGGACTTACATTTTGAAAAGATCACCCCAGTGGTGTTATAGGGAGAATATATGGAACCAGGGCAAGATTGGATTGAGAGAGGCCTGTAGGATACTATTTTACTTGTCCATGTTAGAAAAGGTTAGGCTAGAAGCTGGGTGGAGTGAATGGAATAGAACTGGACTGGGGAGAACATTGTCTTATCTGTGTAAACTAGTCTTTGAAAGCATGTGTGTCAGTAGAATCCTGGGGAAAGGAACTACTATGTGAAGATATAACCTGGAATTGAGTCTAGAGGGAGGAAAAAAATAGATTCAAACTTTGGAGTCTATGTTCATGAACTATATTGGCTTATAACTTTAATTTCTTATATCTTCTTGTCAAATACCAGCATCAGGGTTATAGTAGCTCCTAAAATAAACTGAAAAATTATTTCCTTCTTTGTTTTCTGAAAGGGCTTCCATAAAGAGAGGTTTTTGGTTTTGGGGGTTTTTTTTTGTTTGTTTGTTTGTTTGTTTTTGTTAATGAAACACCATGAGGTACAGTTGTAGACTTACAAACTTTCATGTTTGGGTCTCAGTTATACAATGATCAAGTACCCATCCCTCCACCAGTGCCCATTCTCCACCACCAATGAACCCAGTAACCCTCCCAACCCCCCATCCCTCCCCACCCTGCCCTAACCCTCCCACCCCCCATCCCTCCCCACCCTGCCCCACCTCTGTGGCAGGACATTCCCTTTTGCTCAAGAGAGGTTTTTGTTTTGCTTTGTTTACTTTGGGTGGGAGAGTCCTTGTGTTTGAATTTTTTTTCTTATGTAAAAATTTAATTTATTTTGGGGACACCACATGCAATGTTGCTCAGGGGTTACTCCTGGCTCTGCACTTGGGAATTATTTCTGGCAGTGCACAAGGGACCATATGGGATGCTGAGGATAGAACCTGGTTGGCCACATGCAAGACCAACGCTCTACCCACTGTACTATCTCTCAGACCCCATATGCAGAAGTTTTAAATGATGAATTCAAATTTGTTTTGTTTTGGGATTACCCCCAGCGGTGCTCATGTCTCACTCCTGGCTCTGCACTCAGGGATCATTCCTAGCAGGGCTCCGGGGATCAAATGGGGTGCTAGGGATTGAACCCAGGTTGGCTGAATACAAGGCAAATGCCTTACCCACCATACTAACACTGAAGCCCTCTGAATTAAATTTCTTTAGTAGATGAAGGAATATTAGGTCTTTTCTTTTTTTTATAAAATAGCACTGTAGCACTGTCCTGTCCTCCCATCGTTCATCAATTTGCTCAAGTGGGCACCAGTAACATCTCCAGTGTGAGACTTGTTACTGTTTTTGACATATAGAATACATCACAGGGAGCTTGCCAGGCTTTGACGTCTGGGCAGGATATTCTTG